TTTTTTTCTTCAAATTCTTCATATTGGCAGTGTTTTTGCCAAGCATTTAAATTTATAGCTCATTGCACTCGCTGCTGTGTATCGTAGTATGTCACGATTGCGTCAGGCGATTATCGCGTTAGGCAGTATGCTGTACATATGTATGTATGCGTATATCTACTGACTTGCAGCAAAATGGCAAGTGCAGTACACTGAGCGAATTAATAGTTTGCCAAGAAGTATTTAGTTTGTACAATAACCATGTTTGAGGTAGTTTGTAAAATTTTGAAATTTACTTCAAAACAAAAAATTTCAATATTTTCAAGTTGTCTCGGGTTTTACGAGGGTGTTACAATAAATATTTAACCTTACCGCCCGATTCTGCCACTATCGCAAAAGAAATTTACAGTAATGTAGTAAGTGCTCGTAGCCGGGCTATCAAAGTTTAAGCTGAATCGGACTAGTAATTATGTTTAGAACCCGAATTTCAAAAAAAGAGCAACATCGGTCAGAAATTTGATTAGTCTCTTTGGATGCAGTAAAATCAAAGAGCGCGTGAAAGCTGTAAATGGTGACTCTTCTCCTTTGACTCGGCGACTTGGTTTATCAATTCTTCAAATCTTCACAATCTCGTATTGGCAATCGTTCACCTACCAAACCTGTGTGTGACAGTAGGTTGATCAAAATAACACGTGGGATAAAATATTGGATTTGAGAAAGTTCTCGGCGTTATGGGGGCAAGTGCGCAGTTATGAGACTACTTCACAGCGGTGTGTGGAGTTATTGCAGCAATGCTCTTTTTGCATAAAAATTGATGGAAATTTTGTGATTTTGAATTTCATCAGATGATGTAGGTGATCCTCACTATGATACACTCGAATGCTTTGATTACTTTGTTTAAAAAATTGTACTTTAAAATTTGTTTGCTAATTTCGTTCACGCTTCTTCCAGTGTACCACTGATATGACCTAGACTTAATTAGTCTATATAATCTCTCAATCAGTCTGCTATTGCCTATAGATCAAGGGCTTCCTTACCTTCCTTTAACTCGTCTAATGGACACATTTTCAAATACATATGAACATATATACAGTTATAACAGTGTTATTATGATAGATCGATTAAAAAGTAATAAATAGGAAATACTGGTTTTCATTTCTTTTTATATTTGTACAATAGAACATTTGGTATTCTTCCAACCTGCCGAGAGTTGTGATAGAATATTGAAAGTTTCGGAAAGACAAGACATTATTTTATAAAACAGAAAGATATTTCGACAAATATAACTTTTGGAAATAAAAGAGTGTTGGCATCGATCAATTCAAAGTTTACATACATATATACTGAAATGCACCCCTTTTAATATTCGAATTGAATAGTTATGAAAGTGATGTTTACGGCACTTGTGTGCCTATAGTGATAGTCAAATAGAAAGAAAGCAAAGTGAATAGCAAAACGACTTAGTTATGTTGAGCGCCAATAATACACAACAATCGCAACAACAACAATCACAGTCAACACAACAACACCACGCGCAGCACCAGCACCAACATCAGCACCAGCATCAGCAACACAATACACAGCAACAGCATCACCAGCAACAACAACAACAACAGCAGCAGCAACAACAACAGCAACAAGTATATAACGGCGACTTGAACTTTACCACATTCGCTGAACTTTGCCGCTTCTGTTCGATACGAAATGGTCCCGCCAAAATTCATCTCTTCGAAAAGGAGGCGGAGCAGAGGAATTTGGTCTACAAACTGCGCACGCTAATGTCAACAAATGTGAGTATAAAAGCAAACACTTTTCATATTTTTTATGTGTGCACATACTTATACACATACGAGTACATACATATGCTTTGCTATGTACATGTGTAGCGCTCTAAATTTTCCCCTCATTGTGGGTTGTAGCGACCACTTGAAGCCGTCAACAAATATGCGGTCATATAGAAGTTTTACTGTTATACGCTGACGTGTGTGTGTTGTATATGTTTTGGGGGCAAACACTTCTGTTTTTATATTTTTATTATTTTTATGAGGTTTGCTCTTGGAAAAGCCAGCGACACTTTTATACTCAGCGTACATTTATGCGAGTACAAAGTTAATAGGATTTCTTTACTGAAAAGAGAAATTTTGTGTTAACCATAATGTATAATTGAAGAGATGTGTCCAGCTCTAATTGCTCTTTTTGATACTTTTTAGTCCGTTAAGGCATAGTTGTATTATCCATCACAATGAGTTATAATAATAATTGAAAAGAGTGGTATATGATGACGAATTTCTCGATCGAAACCTATTAAAACTGTAAAAAGATGATTAAAGCGGAAGAATAACACCAAAAACTGCGCTTTCACACAAATAATAATATCTGAAGACATAAAAAAATGCCAATAATAAATGTCAAACTTTATTTACTGATCAAAAAAATATTCAAATTGAACTCTGATATAAATAATCAAAATGAAATTTTTTATGCTTGATATTGTTTTTCAAAAAAGTCTAAAATAGAATTTATATCTTTCCATTTACTTCCGCCTTATTATTTGAAACATGTTTTCATTTACTTGAATCTGTAGAACTTTTACGAAAAAATCTGGCAAATTATAGCAAGGAAGTATAAATTCAGGCTCATAGGCGACCATAATCATCTAAGCAGACAGTAGCTGTCTTCGTTTCGCCAAGCGTTGGAGAGTAGCGAAGTTAACAAACTATAGCAGTTATTCAAACAAAATGGCAGCACTTGCGTTGCAGCTCTGTACTTCCATGTACTCCGTCGCATACGCAATTATGTTGCGCTTCTTTCTTTGGAGGGAAAAATTCTTCTTTTCGCATAATAATGAGCAGTAAGAAACTCTTAATTTCCATTCATACATTTTCTATAAACAACTGTACTTTATTTCAAAGTTTAAATTCTGAAAATCAATAAAGAAAACGATTGTATTTTTATTTTTGAGAGGAATTTGTCATATGAGCCACTTACAATGTGAAAACTGGTATAAAATGTGTTAAGCATAATTTGCTAGCACTGAAGGTAGCGGTTATACCATTTTAATGAGCTATGCGCATATTCTCTTTTATCAATTCAACTCGACCACTTTGTTGATGCTTTTACAACAAATTTTTTTACAAGAAAGCAACGCTGTTGTTGTTTATTAAGATTCATGGGTTAAAAAAAGGTTTATCTTCTGAAACTCGATTTCCATCGTTAAGTTTAAAAAGATTAGTTGCTGCTTACAGCTTCCATAACCAAATATATATTTAACTTCATAAACGAAGGGGTAGCTGAGGCTCTAACATCCTCGACTACGGAGTGGCCTTCTCCATTCTATTAACTTTATTCCACAAATCAAATACTCTTAGCCTGTTAAAATTATATACACTATACGCACCAATTTAAGTCTTAGTTATAATAAGTACCTATCCACCTATCCTCACGATCATGCTTGTTCAATTCTTTATTTCTTGCAATTTTTTTTGTGCTCTACTTGAGCGACACTTGCAAACTTGATTTTCTTTGTGTATCTGCGTTTTTTAGATATCCAAGGACGACTACCTTCCAAAGAATATCTGCGAGCAGTGCGTGCATAAAGTGGAACAATTATTTGATTGGCGACAATCGACATTGCAGATTGAGAATATTCTGCAGAATTATGCGGACTCGATGAGAGCGGTGACGGCGACAATTAATTTTCAGGTAAATAATAAATAAAAAAGATATTAACTTGTATATTAGGTACAAAGATAAGGTGAGATTAAAATAAGAAGAAAGTCGACTTCAAAAGGTTCATTTTCGATAATTTGAATTATTTGACTTTATTTTCAGAAACCGTTTCTATAAGTAAGAAAATTTTAAATTTGAAGCGAAGCTTTTTACGACTTTACGTCGAATTTATATATAACCTATATACCTAATGACATATCTACAAGCCCACGCTGAAACCTAAAAGTTAAGAGCCACTGGCGTGCGAAATTTGCCTGTTTGCTTTCTTCATTTACTACAAGCTTTCGGCAACTTTAATTAGAAATCGTCGTAAAGTACATTTCGCGTTGTTCCATTTTCATGCATTGCAAGAGACTCTTGGAATGCCAACTGACAGAACATAAAAACACACACAAATTGCCACCCACCACCCAAGCGACCGGCCGGCGTCTGCAGCCAAATACAATATGAGCAGAAATACTTTGGAAAAAGTTGAGAAAGGCATTGCAAATGAGTAGATACTCACAGAAATTACTCTACGAACACAAACTTTGACATTGTACGCGATTTAATATGCATACAGGCAACACGATTTTTTTTGGGGTAGGGAGTCGACGCGTCAAAAGGATACGAGTACCGGCGAACGGCAGCCGGTGCTGATGAGTTGCGCAAGAAAAACTTATTGTTCTCTCGCCAATTCCGCATGAATGCCTAGTAGACACTGGATATTTCTTCCTGCCATTCTTTGCCATAACGTCGCGGTGCTGAGGACGACAAAAGCCAACATAACATAACTGTTTATTATAACTCGGGACCCACTAAAATTGAAATTACCATTTCAATTCCACTCGCGAGTCTAATTTTTACGAAATCGAGTTGAAATATTTATTATACACAAATATTTAGTAGTATTTCACACAAATATATAGAACAGATTTAAAAATGTGCAACAACAATTGTGTGGCATAATCTGTTTCGCGTATTCCACTGTCAAATGAGGCACTGATTCGCCGGGCGGCGGTACGGTCCGCGCAGTGGGTGGAGAGACAGCCGTCGTGCGGGCGTTAAAGTCAAGCGGCAATAACTTCGGCGGCGGGCAGGCACTTCGATACATTTCGATACGATTCCCATACACAATAACAGTTAGCGACCGACAAGCGCTCTACGTCTGAATCCGAAATCACTCAAATGTTAATTCAAATGTACGAAAAAGTAAAACGGAAGGTTACTACACCATGAGTGGCAAATCAGTTTCGCAATACATACACAAACAAAAGGTGATGATGAAAATTTTTTCATAAGCACTTACTTACCCACAAAGTGTATACGGTTTTTATAACTCACTGCAGTCAAAAACTAATATATTTTAGGCAACACCAAAAAACCAAAAAAAAAAAAATATATATATATATATTGCAACTGTTCCACCGAAATAAAATTCCATTGTTATGGTGTTACTTTAGAGAAAATCAAAAATTTCCTCATTGTGCAAGTGTATATGGTGGCTAAGGACAATAAATGCGAATATCGATTGATTTCCATTTGGTGACTGAATGAAATTTTTTGCGACAAACGTTATTATGTTGGCTCATCGCAAGCGAGTTTAAGCGGTACATACATATTTGTTGGTGGAAAATTAAAAACGTCCAATTAAAAAATTAATTGCTGTGAACTTTCACTAAAAAACTAGTGCAAATATTTAATTTTTTCGCTTTGCGAAAATTGCTTACGAATTTGGTGAAAAAATTGCTGTTATATATGGGTGTGTGTGTGTGTGTGCGTGCGTGTGTGCGTTTTGGGTAGAGCGCTGAAATCAGGAAGCACGACGGCTGGCTGTAGTAACGCCAAAGCGCCGCCACGGAAGTGCTTGCCGGTTGGCGCCCCAATAGTATACCGACAAATGGCGGCGCTGTGACGAACAGAAAGATCGCCAAGCAAAATGTTATGAAAAAATCAAATTTAATTGGCGCATAATTTGAATAAATTTGAAAACATTCATTAGTATGAAGTGTATAATTAAGTGCAGCAAGTTAAAAGAAGTCATAAAATAATAAACCCATTAAAAATGCAAAAAATAAATTATTATATAAATAGAAAAATGCTTCCAAATTAAAATAAAAATATTATTTCATATAAGAGTACTACTTTTAGACACGTACATATATGTAGTTTAGCGGATTTTTGTAATATTGACTGTAAATAAAATTTTTGTTTAATCGACGTTTACTTAATTTTTTTTATATATTTTATTAATTTTTTTTTTTGTAAATTAAATGACTATGGTACATATGTTTATCATATACTTGTATGTATATATCACAACGAAATTTTCTTATACCTAAAACACATACACTAACTCCATCATCCTTTGTCCTTAGCTGGACCTCATAAGGTTATTCCATTGTTCGGGGAGCAATGTTCGCTTTTGCTTTTGCACAAAACTCTCCTAAAGCACTTTCACCTCATACCAATATATGCACTTACAAACACACATATATATAAATACATAATGGGTGTTTTTTTAGACATATGGTTTTCAAAAAGAAATGTAACGCATATAATTTGATGTTATGGCCAATTATTTAATTATAAAGATAAGCATTGGACATTATGTAAATGTAAAACAAAATTCCTTCGCAAAATCTTCTATAAAATGGATGCGCACAGCTTCAATAGTTCAATAGTCTTCTTCGATACACTGCTCTGTAGCAGAAATAGCAGTAAGTCTGTTTATTATGAAATGGTAAACCAAACTCAGTATCAATCAAGTAAGAGCTGTCATAAAGACTAACTCCGGAAAAATATTGCCTTAATGAAAACCACATGTCTTAAAAAACATCCGTTATTTTTATATATACATATGTAATTGGCGGCAATGAACAACTCAACCGGCTTGTACTTACACGCTCACACATACAAATATACATAATACAAATGTACATAATAACAACAATAAAGTTCACTCACCAATGCATAAAGTCGGATTGTATTCAAATACAAACAAATTAAATTTATTTTTATACACATTTCCACGAATTTCAATGAGGAGATATTTTATGAAATGAAAAAGTTGCAATGCTCCAGGAAAAGCTCATTTCATTACATAAAATACACAATGCCCTTAGAATAAGGTACGTAATGATTTGCATCCCCACCCACCCTGTGTGCAAATACGACAAAAACAATTGAACGTCACAAAATGCTCCCCAAAATATGTTTCACTTCCCCAAACATTCCAAGGGTAAAATGACTATGCCCTCTACTAGTAAATCGCATAACAACGAAACGGAAAGTGAGTGTAGTAAGTGCAAGTGGATGCTAAGGAGAGAGAGAGAGAGAGTAAAAGAAAGAGAGTGAGCGAAAATGAGCGTGAACTTGTGAACTTGTGAAAAGTGCGTTTGAAACGAAGTGAGATTGGCACAGAACAGTGGAAATATGAGCAAAACCGTGAAGATTAAATGCGCGGCAAAAAGTGCTTTTAGGCGCTAAAGTCGGTTTTAATTAATAACAAATAACACAATTGGTGGCACAATATATTTTTAAAATGCACTTTTTCAATTATTTCATTCGGTTTCGCCTTTAGGACGGTACCGTTAATATGGATAAAATGACGGTAGCGCAAAAGAATGCATACCTTGAGGCGCATATGGCGGTGCAACAACAAATGGCGCAGGCGGCAATACAATTTAAACAACAGCAGCAGCAGCAACAACAAACCTCCGCGAATTCCGCACAACAGCAACAACAGAGTTCGCCTACCACCAATAATAACAATAACAATAACAACAATTCGTCACAACAACAACTACAACAACAGCAGCAGCAACAGCAACAACAGCAACAGCAGCAACAACAACAGCAAGCTCATTACGCCAGCACAATTAAGGTACCACAAATAAGTTCCTCTAGTTCGGGTGGCGCTGAGAGCACTTTCACCGTACCCGACGATGTGGGTATGGGTTTCGAGGGCGGCGTACGCGTGCTACAAAGTTTAGGCAGTTGGTCACCGGACAATGTTACCTACAATATACCTAAGCCAAATTTAATACCATTCACCGAACCATATGTCGAGGGTGGTTCCATGCATCCGGCCAGTCGACTGAAGGCACTGCAACAAGTACAGCAAGCCTCGTCGGGCGTACGCAAAACGAATCCATCTAAAAGTGAGTATGGTCGAAATGTGTGTTTTTAGTGGTTTTGTGCATATTTGTATCTCTTGTTTGATTAGGGTTTAAAAAAGTTATTTTGACGGGGAAGTTTACTTTTTTATTTAACTTTTCAAAAGATAGAAGATTTACTTAAAATTTAACTTAATTCGACCAAGTAAAACCATAAAAGTGCAAATAGTTTCGAAATACATTTTCTCCGGAAGGTCAGCTGTATTTTGGTCCTCAGATAGATTTAGCTGCTGCTCACCAGCTTAAACCTTTTTTTAGATTATATTACTTTAGTTTATACTTGCCTGGATGCTTGTCAGAAACATAACTGTATGCTGTCCTATCTTTAGTCTACACTATTTAGTCACGATCTGAGATGATCTGAAGGTACAAGAATACCAGCACTTCAATTTTTCTTGGATAGTTTACTACATAAGTTTTTAGAGGAAATTAGCCTAATTTCGTAAGTTTGAGAGATATCTGCTGGTCAACTTTTGGTCTCTCTGTTAAAGACTCTAAGACTCAGGGAGGTGGGTTATATGAAACGCTCCAAACGTGGACATTCTCTCTTTCTTCAACTTCACCCCGAAAATTGGGACTATTGCGTCATAGAGTGATGATTTTGTCTCTGTTCAAATACCGACAAGGGATATTTGAACGACAAGGCGAAGTCGTTGGAGAAGTGGTTTAGTAACATTTTTCATTGTTGGGTCAAAGCTCGGCCAAAATGTTGGAGCGGAAGTGCAGTCCTTTCTAGAGAAGTGAGCATTCACTTTCCTGCAGAGCGGCAACATTAGCTTTGAGCTTCTCACTGTGCACTCAAAGTTAGTCAAGGAGTCTCTAAACTTACTGTCAAAGTTACTTCATTATTAGACTTCTTTGGGTGCCTGACCATACTGGAATCGTTTGAAACAACAAAGCTGATGAGCCGGCAAGACGTGGCACTCTCGGCCCACTTTCATAGGAGTTGGAACGAGATGTATCCCCCTATCCTCCTGCATTCAACTTCGCGTGAGCTTAGCAGGTGCCAGTCGATGACCAGTTCCTGTGTGACTGGGAGATGCTTCCGGCTTAATGCAGAACGCAGGAGATCCACTGAACTACTTGCCCTTAGCAAGGTTAATCTTGCCGCAATCGTAGGTGTTTTTACTGAGAATTGTTCAATAGGTATCCATACGCTAAAGTTTATTGGACGCAAATTGTCAAAGTTGTAGAAAGGTGAAGTAGACACTTCCAAGCATCCATTGTCCAGCTTTATCAAGACTGTGAAACATCGCGGCAGCCAAACCTTCCACGAGCCAAGAGAGGTAGTCGAAACTGATGTTGGCCGTCTCAAAAAATTTGTCATAGGTTCAAAGCGTTTCGTCGAACTACGAGGGTCTTTATGATCATTATACGGTAGTTTTAGGTAGCATAATAAATTGGCATTCTAGACTGTTCCAAAAAGATCCCTGTTGACGCTTGTAACACGGCCGAGACTTTAAACTATGAAATTGTAGGTCAAATATTCTAACTATTACACTAAGTTACAAAATTCGAATCGTTTATTCTAAATTGGATTTTTACACTGAAATCTCTTCGCAGATCCCAACAACAAAGCATTCGAATGCACGGTGTGTGGCAAAGGCCTTGCTAGAAAGGATAAACTCACAATTCACATGCGCATCCATACGGGCGAGAAACCATATATTTGTGAAGTATATAATAAAGCAATTAAACCTACAAACAATCCGAGCATTTACTAACCTAAAAAAAAAATTAATCCAATTCTCTTGTAGGTGTGCAATAAAGCATTCGCCAGACGCGATAAACTTGTGATTCATATGAACAAATTCAAACATGTGACGCCAACGAATATAGCGCCATTGGGTAAGCGACTCAATAATATGGTGAAAAAGAAAGAGCCCGAACCGGAGGACAATAAACAAAATCTGGAATTGCAATTGCAACAACAGGCCGTACAAGTGGCCACACAAAATATTATAGTGCAAACAACTGGCGGTCAGCATAGTACACAGACCACAGCCATACCGGGCATAATCATACCGCATCATCATCAGCAACAATTGTCGTGGACTTGTGAGCTATGCGGACGCATGTTCTCGAGTCGGGACGAATGGACATTGCATGCCAAGAGTCATCTAGAGGTGGGTTGGTTGACGGATTCAATTAACAGTTATTTGTTGCTTTCATTTCATACATATGCATCTTGTTGTTTGTTATAGTATTGACAACAGGAACAGGAAATAATAGAGGAAACAAAAACAACAGCAACAACAGCCGCCGCAGCAAAGCAGAGCAGCTTTCAAACTGAGTCCAATCAAAATGCGATGCAAGTCGAGATGAATGCACGTAGAGAGAAAATAATCATACAAAATCAAATGATTATAAACTCGCAACAACAACAACAACAGCCGCCACATGCTGGCAAAAAGTTTAAGAAGCACACGCAACAGTCCACATTATTTTCCACCACGGCCGCAATGTCGAACAACAATAGCAACAACAATAACAACATGGGCAGCAGTGGCAATATTAGCAATAGCAACAATAACAACAACAACAACAACCATAGCAATAATAACCGCAATCCAACCGAAGTAACTAAAAATAACTGAAAATATTTTCTTCTTCTATGTGTGTGTATGCTTGTATGTCGTACAATATTTATATTCACCCCAGTGATCCTGCAACAGCGGAAACATTTGTAGCTCAATCAGTAAAACAAGTCACTAGTTGTACCCATCCCCCTTCCTGCCGTTAACTCTGCAACCGAAACTTCGCTTTGTAAAACTATTGTAGTTAGTTTGCATGTACGTGTGTATGTATGTATGTATGTGCGTACATATGTATGTATGTATGAATTGTGTAATACAACTTTGCGTGTACGTATTTTTCTTCTTCTTCTTCCTTTTCTTTGTTTCTTTTTTTACTATTTCAACTCGAATGTTAACCAAACCACTAAACCATTACCCACAACCCCAACCTTGCCCGCAACAACAACAACCACAACAACTCCAGTTTAGTCATCACTTTCACTAACAATGATTCGCTTCATTTCCACTAGATTTCCCATTTATTTGCACACTCCCCCACGGCAGCCACATACGTCCAAGCGCAACTTAACGGCATCAATTTCACAGCTGATAATCAAACCGTTACAGCCAATGTCGCCGCCAATATAAACGCCACCGCTAATAACGGCAACATTAACTCGAACATCAACACCATTTCCACACCCAACATCAATGCGAATGCCACCATCACAACAAATGCGGCACAACAGCCGACTAGCGGCAACGCCGGTGTACCGGTCGTCACCTACAATGGCAATCAATATTGTGTAATCACGCGCAATGATGCGGGTGCCGCCGAGAAGTCGGAATTGCTGCAAATTCATGGCCAATTCACCACCGACAAGGAGGGTAAGACGAATATAATTCTGATGTCGCCGGTTTCGGTGCCGATGCAAATGCAGATGCACGTGCCGATGCAGGTGGAAGTGCAAAATCCAAATTAAATTGAATTTGCCGTGCGGCAATCGGAGTCGGGCGCTTAGAGGTCTACAATGTAAATGGGTTTACCGGGAATAGTTCGAGCGCATTTGTTGGCGGTAATTGTCCGAAGCCAGAAGGCAGTGGTTAAACAGGGCGCGCCTACCTGTCAGTATGCAGAAAGGTATCGCGGTTGTATTAAACGAAAATTTTAACTTTTTAGTTTGAGTGTAAGACAGCAAATAAGAGCGGAAACTATGTAATATAAATATTTGATATAAACAAGTTCATGTTATACCCAACGCACTTAGGAAGTGCAGCAGTAAAAGAAATTACGGCGCAATGAGGCATTAAAGTACATTTTGAAGACTTTTGAAACAAAGAAAGAACATTATTTTTCAGGATCTTAAATATATATGGTTTCTCTGCGAGAGAATTTCTTTCAGCACTAGAGTTTTTACAATCCCTATATTATTCAAAAATGTATGGATAATGTTTCCAAATTTTTAAAAAGTTAAAAATTCCAGTTTAAAGATGATCGACGCCGGGCGCCCAAATTAGTTAGTTAAGCTAACCACATAAGTACTGTAGCATGACTGACCTTTCGGGTTTAAATATAGACATAAGTTCGTTTGAGCCGTAAAAGAAAAGCAGTAACCAATCACCTCTCAAACAGTTATACTTATAATCATAAAAAACTAGTCTATTAAATACTTGACTACCACTTTCTGAGTACTCGTAAAGCAACGCGGGGGAGCCAAGGACCCCAATGCGACTCCTCCAATTATTTCGATCCTTTGCCTCCACGTTTGATTTGGCACCAACTTCTTTGAACATAAGATATTTCGATATACAAATTTCTTCTCCAGGTTAGAGTGGGTCGGCCTTTTCGTCGGTTGCTTTGTTGAATTCCAATCGATAGCGCACCGAGTGATTCTGTCTGGATCTCGTTTCGGAACATATTCGATTTAGCTCCATTTTCTTTTCAGAATTTTAGTCCACACGGGTGTTTGTTTGTGTCGGACCATAAGTATGTGTTAGAGCATAGATCTTAAGAGAATTTAAATGAATGGCGTTCTAATAGTGGAAATTTAAAGTGTTTAAGTTATTAATAATTACCACTGATCATTAGGTATTAGGCCCTATTTATATAATGCATATTGTGATATTGTAGAATTGTTTATGGATTGGGAAAAGTCTTAAACCTACTTTGACTATGATAGGTTTCTTTACTCTACAACGAAGTCGAAACGTTAGTATTGCCAAGAATGAGGATAATTTCAATCTAAGAGATGAAAATGTTTAGTAGTTGCAGGTTAGGTTAGGTTAAAAGGTCGATTTAAAGTCCCACTTGGACAAGCTGAGAACGACGGTACACGCTGAGTATTGATCGAAAATACTCTCAAAAGTCGACAAATTGCTTTGAGTTTACCACAAACGGGTATTTGTTAGGTTCGCCAAAGATATGAGTCAACTTTGACAGTTAGCGTCGGACAATGTTTTCAGTCTTACCGTATGCACGCATATTGGACAATGACCAGTAAGAATTCCTAACGAACCTTACTAAGAGCAAGTAGTTCAGTGGATCCCCTGCATTCCGTAGTAAGCAAGAAGGACCACTTAGTCGCGCAAGAGCTAATTGTTGACCAGCGCCTGCTAAGCTCCTGTCAAGTTCGGAGGTTCAGCGGTAGAACGCAACAGTACAACGGAGACCCAACGTAGACCGTGAAAATTTCATATAAAAAACTGCGAATAATTAAATTTTGTTAAAAAGTTCAATTATACATTGTAACTCCATAATATTCAGAGACTTAAATTAGCTCAAGCCTGTTATACGTTTAGATATTGATATTTAATACAGGTTGTTTCACAAAGTTGGAAACATTTGTCTTGAACCCAAGAGTTTCTTTATGCCTCGAAGCAAACAATGGTTGGAAATTCATTTCACATAATTTATCAACTTTTGCAGTTCTAGCGCAATTTTTCTTTGGTATAACAGTACAGTTATGTGGTAAGTTACACAAATTTTTCACTCTGTTTTTTAACGTGCGTTGGGTAAAAAAGGAAATTTATATGAATTTGAGCAAAGAGATTGTCATGTTAATAAAATGTCTTCAAGCTATGATAACGAAAAAAGTTCAAAATATGTATACACATTATAATTATGGTTCGAAATTAACTCTCTATGGTTTGTTGCGGTAACGGTAAAATTATAAATCTTAAATCTAAGCGCTGTAAGCTTAAGTTAGAAACTGCAATTTTAAGTTAAAAACTTGAAATCTTGCTTATCACAGCGTTGGCGGTCTCCAAAATCTAAAAAAAAAATAAAATAAAAAAACTCAAAAATTCCAACAAAAACAATATGCAAATATTAAACAAATAACACCACAAAGTTGCAATAGCTAACCCACTTAATATAAATTTTTAAGTATTTACCGCTAAGAGTAAAAAAATATATATGTATAACTATAAAGATTTCTGTTTAAGAAGAACCAAAATACTTTGAAAAAGTTTGTAAATAATAAAGTAAATTAGAAGAAAAAAGTGATCGTCTCCATGCAAAACAAAAAAAAATCTATATATAGTAAAAAAAAACAAAAAAAAAACACCGATAAAATTAAAAAAGCGAAAAATTGACACGCAGATCCATAAGCGATACAGATGTGTATGCACCTACAAAATTTTGCATAAGCGCTTTTTAAATTAAACTTAAAACTGTAATTTGTAAATGATTTTATAGTAACGAGTAAAAAAAATTCCAAAAAAAAAATGATGAACTTATACTTTACTTTTAAATAGCCGTCATGAATTTGAAAAAAAAATAAAAATAAAAAACACTGTGTTTGTGTATGATTAGTATTAAGGAAAATTTAAGTACATATCTGGGATAAAAGAAGTAAAATGAATATAAATGGTGAATGGAGCATTTAATTGTATTTTGCAGTTAGCTAAAACCGCTCTATATTTGTATGGAAATGTTGTAATATGTATAACCGAAAAATGTATTACTTTGAAAGCAGGAAAAAGTATTGAAAACGGATTTATAAAGGTATACTGTAAGAATTTATGTCCGATAGGTTATTTATCTTTTATTTTTATTTGATTTTTTATTTTGTAACAAAATTGAGTTTGAATTTCTTTAATAATGTTGAATGCATATTTTTTAAAAACATATGGCAACCCTATGTGATACTTGGCCGTTTACGAACATTGTTCTTAAAAGTTTGCGTTCGAATTATAGGCACCGAGCTTTTAGAGGTAATCCAATCTTTGTCACTGGCTATTTAATAGAGCAAAAACTGTAGGACTAAATATATAAAAATTGATCTCTTGAGTTTCAGATGTAGCGAATGTGCAATATCCGTTAATATAATTTAACAAGCTTTAGTCAATCTCACTGAATCGATTTTGGAACTCATTTCGTTTAGTTTATGCTCCTATGGTGAGCTCTTTCGTTATATGAGTGCGAACACAGAGAGAGCTTGATACATTTTTCCTCAATATAATAATAATAAAAGGCGATTTGTATTGTGAGTATTCTAGTCGATTTTTGCATTGTTTAAGAATAATTGTGATCTGAGTTGATACTTAAAGGAAATTAGTTTAAAAAATGTGCGCTACATTACTATAGAGCCAAAGATATATCCACAACAATCTCTTTCTACAAGAATAATTAATTTCATAATTAAATTTTTCGTAAATAATTTTAGTTTTTTTTTTTAAATTTGAACTAATATTCGGTTTGAAATTGTTTTGCTATTATATATTTTCTATATATTATATAATATTACATATGTATAAGTCCAAGTATTTAAATATACCGAATTATTGATATTTACATTAGTAATTATTACTTAAAAATATTATTTATATTTATTGCATACTTGTAGTATTGAAGAGCCAAATAATGACTCCTTAATTGATAACTTAAATGTGTAGAATGTGAAAAGAAAACTTTGTAAAGAAAAACGAATTCGTAGAGAGCATTTGCAAATATTGTAGTTGCTAAGAGAAAACAAAAGAAACAACCAAAACAACAACTATTTACGATAACAAATAAAATTGAAGTGTGAAAAACAATTCGATTATCGCTTAATTTGTTAAAAATAATTATATATGCTTCGTACTAAGGAGATGAATCTAATATATTTGTTGCCATTTTCGCGACCACCACTAAGAGCAAAACAATAAGAAAGAGAAGTTAGCATATCACTGTAGGAGTCAATCATGCTCAATTTCGTTTTCGTCGATTTCGTTCTGTTAATTTCGATGTCAAATATGCACCATGCTGTGAATTTCCAACCGAAATCTTCGAGTCCGACCGTCATGTAAGCACTGTTTCGTTTGCACTGGAGCTAAATATAGCATGTTTGGTATCATTTAAATAAGGCTGGATATAAAGAGAAGCTCGATGTATGAATGTAACACGAGTTAACACAAAAAACCGCATGGACCGATGCCCTTAATTCAGCCCGGTATTGTCATTAATTAGATCTCTGATGTATGCAATTGTTAAGAAGTGGGCAGCTTTGGCCAATAGGAGCGGAATTGTGTTCTATCAGAACAAAACCAGGCCATACATACATCGCTAGTTAGTTGCCGGAAGCTCCGCGCGCTTGTTTGGATGGATTTTATATACTCACCTCATAGGTCGAACTTGGCACCAAGTGATTACCGGCTGTTTCTGCCTCAAGAGAAGCTTGTAAAAATCTACTATTCCAATAGTGAGAGTGTCATATCGAAATTAACTCGGGTACAGAACTATCAGGTATAAAAGTTCTTATATAGGCATATCAGATAGTATCTTTGTGGAGCTATAAAGTTACTTTTCCTAATAGTTAATTCTATAGTTTTAACTATAACTTAAACTTAATAATGCGCTATAACTATTGAAAGGCTATAAAGTGGAAAACATTATTTTAATTCGAATATAATGTATGGTTATGGTAGAATTTGAAGGGTATTTAAGATGTCAGACGCAGCCTCATAGTTAAAATTTCTGTTAAATACATAAAAAGAGAAAACGGTGACTGAAATGATGGTGTTTTCTAAATAATCGTTCAACATTTCGAGAGCAGAAAACCCATTCTCCCATTACAAATTTCCGAGAAGCTTTGTAGAAGGTTTAAAAATAATTGACTATAATAAACAATTGAATATTTTATTTTTTATCACATTGTGAAAATTTTTTTTTGAAGGAGCTTATACTCATTATATTTAACATTTAACACATGTTTTATGAATCCCAAGAAAAATGATATTTAAAGCATTGCCTACCAAAGGTCGACGTGTGTATTAGTTTTCAGTAGTATTATAATCCAAACTATTTAATATTTTCTTTTCCCGAGTATCTCTTATCATTCGAGAGCAATGATCTGTTTGAAAATTGTTGAACCCTCCATATTTCTGATGAAATCAAAATTTATATGAAAATTACGAGGAGAAGTTCAGGAGAGATAGAATATTGATAAAACTCTCATATGGGAATTCAACTTGCATTCCAATTACTGTTAGTTATTTATATTTCAATGCAATAAGTTCAGCTGTGTACATTTTTTTAAAACCTGCTGTACGGTAATTTACCATTAAAGTTACAGTTGCGCAATTGTCACCACTGCACAAATACCAAGCACACGGCTCTTTTTCTAATTTTTCACATAAACGAGCCTATAGCACTTAAACTTAGAAGATTCTGAATGAAATCTTAGTAACCAAAATGCCCGTTTGCAAGCATTCCATCAAACCATTAGTACAAATAAATACGGCAAACACCAACCACTTCCACCAAACTGTTTTTGAACTGTTGAATTGACCATAAACAGAAACTTGCTGCTGCAAAAATAGTTGCTACGACATATACGAGTACATAAGTAAGAACAACAAGAGTAAGAAAGATTTTATGAGCCAAAAGCAGCAAAGTGGGGGCATAAATTATACGACATAACCGCTGTGCATTTACATGTGTTTGTATCTGTGCGGCTGTGTGTGTTTAATGGAAATGTTATATCTCACAAGCCCAGCAAACAAATTATTTTTTAAGCACCTTAAAATTATGGCTTTTTTAAAATTACATAACTAGCAGAATTGCACATGTATTCCGTATTTCGACATGGCGAAAGACTGTCATGTCAAAATTATACAAGGCATTTTTTTGGAGTATGAGGAAATTACTGCGCCACGGACAGCGTCGCCACGATACCTTTATTACAATTACAGCAATCATTGATTCTATATTTTACACTGATTTCAAAAGTTTTACAGATTTCTGATCAAATTTGACCCGGACTGATAAAAAAAGGTACATTTTCACGAATTTTCCTGAGCCAAGCAAAGATGCCAATGCGTAATCCAGTTTTCCATTCAATTGTTATAAGACTCGGCTGCGATGGCTTTCCTTGCCTTCCTCGCCTTCCTCGCCGTTATTCGCCTCGATTTCTGGTTTTTCGGTTTCGGCTAATTTTTGGACCGCAATTCCCTAGATCGTTACCAGTAAATTTGCGATATAAATAGCTTCACCTTTAAAGCTGACAATATTGATCTAAAAGAAACTTAATTGCATAGACTTCAATTGTATTTGCAATGTGAAATAACGAAACGAGCATTTAGTTTTGAGGTTCAGTGATAGAAAGGACTGAATCCCATGCCTGTCGAAACTATTTTATTAAGCAATTACGTCACTAGCTCTAACACAAATCTTGAATATTTTGCTCTCAACTAAACCTATACACGCTTCGAACACACTTGAAGGTAAATATTAGAGCGTACTTAAGCGTTTGCTTGTTGGAATTAATTAGCACAGAACAGCAAATTGAATATTTAACATTCAAGCAATAACAACAACGCCTACAAACGCAACAACAACTATTAACTGCCAAAGAAAACTAACAAACTCCACTATAATACCTGTATAGCGTCAACATTAACAAGTGTCAGCTGCTGTAGCCAATCAACCTACATACCTATTACCTTCAATCGATTCTGAGTGCACGCCATCAAATCTGTTGAATCAGTTGAGTTTTTAATTCTCGCGTAGACGGTCGCTTACGGTGATTTACAAGTTAAGATGCTGAATGGAAAATTCTACACGGGCCTGCCGCCCAGCATGATCGAACGAGGCGCGACACAGCGTAATCGCCTGCAATCAAGTATTTTCTGGCCGGATGACACTAAAGTCGACTCGGCGGTGGAGACGCGCGTCAAACGGCGTAATAGCTTACAAATTGCACAAGCCGAAAGGCCACGATTGCGCATGCAATCATCGGTGAGCGGTGGCGGTGACGCAGATATAAATACACGACAATTATTTCAGAAAGAGTTTTCGAAATCATCAATCGAGTTTTTGGATAATCTTTGTGAAGAAACGCCAGCAAGAAAACCCTTGCTCTATAGGGGTCAAAGGAGAGCAGCTACAGAGGTGACAGCCAAACCGACAGCGTTGAAATTGCCACTGCCCGAGAATGTGGTGAACGCTGGATATACCACTGCCAAGAAGAAGCAAGCGTTCACATCGAAAATCGAATTCTACGATTATGTGGGTGATGAGTTGAACAATCGAAATAATTTAAGACGCGCCAAAATGGATATGAACGATAAAAAAGAGATGGAGCGGAACACGAAGAATAGCCCTAAATTGCAAGTGAAAAACAATATGCGCGATTTAAGCGCGAATGAAAAGAAGGTAGATATAGTCAGAGTGGATAGCAAAACTGTTCAGGATAATGCTGAAATACAATTGAAAAACAATATGCACGCAGAAACGGAGAGCAGAGCGCAGGATCGTTACGCCACAGAAGTATTTGATGAAGAATACGAAGATGTTCGTCACAATTCAGCAGGAAATAAGAGAAATCCGCCTGCAAGCGTAGATCGTTTTAGAGACGAGCGCATACGTGAACTAGATTTTTTGGAAAGTAGACGAACTGTTAGTCCGGAGCATGGCTACAGGCGTGAAAATCGTTTACAAGAACTGTATGAAGATGAATATGGGGCACCTGATTATGCACCCAGTGGACGTTATGGGCGCCAAACGGCAGTGCGTCGTTCCAACAGCGTTGGACGTTTCACGACTCCAACAAAGCGCATACTAAAACAACCCGCAAGGGAGCGCAGGCGTTACGAGGATTATGTAGAAGATGGTTATAGAAGTAGTGAGATCAGTAGAATTAATGAACGTTATAGGCGCAGAAATAACGATGTGCATGAACGCGAGTCTTATAACGAGCACGATGCTGAGGAAAATTTGGACTACATGGAGGATTGCATGAGAAATATGCGCGTTTGCACATCACCAAAAAAGCATGTCACCTACAGCGATGACACCTACTCGCACGACGACGAAATGCCAAGTCAGTCACGACGACCGATCGCATTAAACGCGCAGTCGCGTAATCGCGCGCCACCACCATTAAAAACAGCAGCAAATATGCGCACCGGAAGCAACAATCTGCAACGCCAACAAACGGAGTTACGACGCTACAATAGTGAAATAGATCTCGCAGATGATGTTAATGAGACGTTGGAGCAGAAATTTATGGAAAATGACATGAGCGGCAGTGCAGCAACAATCAAGTCATTAAATATTGCTGGCATTTACAATAACAAAAGCAATAACCGCCAGTGCATTGAGGGTGAAGAGCACAGGCGTGTGGTCAATAAAATAAATAACAACAAAAACAACAATTACAATAACACAACGAGTCGTCTTAATAATCAAACTATCGCATCAGCTGCACGAAAAATCACACCAAATATGCCAACAGCCGTGACAACAAAGCAAAACGCCGACATGCGAAGCGCAATACCAGAAGCAGCGACTGCAACGGGCGTTAAAAAACATTTGCGCAGCAGCCTCTGTTTTAACAATGGCGAGATCATTGCGACCGATGACGTCGGTTCGACGTCCGTAAAGGCACCCACGCGCAATGCGCGCAGCACGTCGACGCGTCAGCGCGTTAGTGTGGGTCTGCCCGATTAACAGCTGACTTGGCGCTGAGCTTAAGCGGCGGCGTAGCTGGACGCGCAGCTGCTGTATATACGCGGGCACGGTGAATGGCTCGTACACGTACTTGTTTGTAGCGCGCGCTCGCTAATACAATGATTATTCATAAAATGAGATATATGATCGTACATTTTGTTGTTTTGGCTGTATCTTGAAATGATCGAATTTTTAAATGGAAAATTAACAAAGTGACTTTATGAACTTTATATAGCATATACAGTGTGAATATATGTGCATATACATATGCAAATTTCAATGCTATGTACAAATGTTCATTTGTATATGTGTAAATATGTTTCAGTATTCCATTATATACGGCTTTGGTGTTTTTTTATTGGGCTTAACTAGTATTTTATGGTGTTGTGTGTTCTTAAAGTTGGAAATTCATAAATACCAATGAATACAAATACAATGGCAAGCCTACACTCAAATTCAAGAACACGTCGTTGTAAACAATTTATGTACTTACAATACATAACATATATTATATACAATACATAACAATAATATTTTATGTTGATTTTAAAGCTTAACGGTATTAACATAAATATATAACTACCTATATCTTAAAGCAGATAATTAAAAATATTTCATTCCAATTCTTGCACATATCAAAAAGTCTGTTCAAAATCTGAAGATTCGAAAGGTTTTCTCCAGAGATTAATACCAACTTAACTTTACTAATTTCAGTGTGAAAAAATTAAAAATATCCGAAATAAATATTGTTCGAAGTATTGACAATAGAATTTGTAATAAACAGCTGTATGTCAGCTAGCTAGTAATTATCTTATCTTCTATCTGTATTCATTTAAAAGAGCAGCTTGTGTCGAATGTAACTTTACGATCATTTACAATTTTTGCTTTTAATTTTAAGTTATTTGGTTTAAGTTGTAATCTAATCTATAATGCGATACATATTTTTGAAAAATGAACATTACAATCGTTAAATTCTTTAAACCCAAATAGAAAAGGATTAAACATTTTTGATACCACAAAAAAAAAATATTAGTAGCATGTAACTCAGTTTGAAAGATTGAGAATATAACTAAAATGAAAGGAAAAATAATTTACGGACGCGTTAAGGTCGGAAAGTAGATGGGAGTGTGGTGGTTGGGTATTAAGCGTAAAGAAATAAAAGTCCTATGGAACAAGCAAAAACGTTAACTTCGGTTGCACCGAAGCTATAATACCCTTCACATAACTTGATTCCGATCGTTCAATTTGTATGGCAGCTATATGATATAGTGATCCGATCTATACAATTTCTGTCGACAATACATTGTTGCCTTAAATAATAATGCATGCAAAATTTCGTGAAGATATCTCGTCAAATAAAAAAGTTTCCCATATAAGTACTTGATTCCGATTGACAGCCATATGCTATAGTGGTCCGATATCGGCAGTTCCGACAAATGAGCAGCTTATTAGTGAGAAGAGGATGGGTGCAAAATTTCAGATCGATAGCTTAAAAACTGAGAAACTAGTTTGTGTATATACAGACAGACGGACATAGCTAAATCAACTCAGCTCATCATGCTGATCTTTTATGTATATATTTTATAGGGTCTCCGACGTTTACTTCGTTACAAATTTCGTGGCAAACTTAATATTATATACCCTGTTCAGGGTATAAAAAGCTTAAAAGACAATATACTGGATTATAAAAGGATCTCCGTCTTTTGTGTTAACATTGGTTTCACATGTGCTCAAATTTTATATAAAAATTTAAAATAACTAAAAAAAAATATTTCAAATAAAAAAAATTAAAATGTGTTTGGGACATAAAAATAGATAATTTAGGACTTTTAGATTATCTGGAAATTTTCTAAATTATTTTTCCTTTCATATTATGAATGAAAAATTATTAAAATTAATGAAGAAAACAGTGAAAAAAAGGTTTTTATAAAAGAAAATAACTTGTAACTTCCGTTTTTTGTTTGAATATATGTATGTGATAAATATAAGATCTTTATATTATATATAACATATGCCATAATTATATCAAAACTTAGTACTTAGTTTCGAAAATATTAGAATTACTTTTCTTGTAGTCATGATCATTTTTAGTTTGTATAATCAATAATACTTTCAATTAACAATGTTTTAAAAATAAAAAATGTTAACCCAACTAACAAAATTGGTTTCAATTGTTTAAAATGTACACAAGATCGAGTTTATTATTTTGTGTTTATGGACAATTCTTTTTCTTCTTGTTGGTCGATTGAGAAAAAAGTGACAGGTTTTATATACCATATATATTTTTGATGATGAACTGTGATCAAAACAGTCAACTGTGGTGAGTTAATTTACAACAACGAGAAACAATTGCAATTGCGATGGTGCATATTTGTTTGAAAACAGGGTTTTGTCTATAAATGCAAAATAAATCAATTTCTTATGTTAAACTTACTTTTGTGAGAAGAGTTTTATACTAAACAACTGCATCCCCGAAAGCTTGGGACGTGCGTCGCAGGGTCTACGCGTGATGGCTGTTTCTCTGCTCACATATCGACGAGAGACATGTGGACGGGAAGTAGTCGCTGGAGAAGAGGCGTAATAAGCTTTCGTATGGATGGATCGAAGGTAGCTTGGATGAAGAGTTTTCTGTAAGAAGCTATCCGTAAAGCTAAACTTTAGGCTACCGGACCGTCGTAGTATTTTTCAGCCGCAAGTGGCTGCTATTAAGGTGGGAGTAGACATACTGATCCGAAGTGCTGCCTCTTTTAGGGAGGTGAGTATTCACTCCGTCAGCTGAGTGGCAATACTAGCTCTGAGGTCGCTAAGTGTGTGCTCAAATTTTGTCTATTTTCACTGTTGTCAATAGCATCAACCTACTTCATTATCAGACTCATTTGGGTGCCTGGTTAGCAATGTTCATTTTGCCACAATCGTAGGAGGCATTCATGCGAAAAGAAGGTCAGTTGGAAATATTCAGACACTTCCTCCTCCATTGTCCAGCCTTTGCAAGACATCTCAACAGACTTACATTCGACGCACCAGGAATTATAACCCACACTGACATTAGCCGCCTTAAGAAAGTTGGCTCATAGCGCTTAGCCGATTTAAGACGGTCTTATGATCAATTATATAGGGATTTTAGGGACCACAATGGATCGGCGTTCTAAGCCGTCCAAGTGAGATTCCTGTAAGGATCGAGCTTTTAACCTAACCTTAACCTAACCCATGGATAGGGACTTTCCTTGCCAGCTGTTACGTGTCTCTGTATGGGTAGACAATGTAAGCAATTGAGAAGGTTAATAGAACTATAAGTACTGTATTGAAAGAATTGTACTGGAGCAGTTGTTCAAATAGTCTGGCAGCACTTGCGTTCTAAAACTATGAAACGAATATTGGTAGCATCGAAGGATGGAATTATATCACTTTAGTGAGATCTGAAAAAAATGCCTGATTGCTTAATTTTTGACTCGTTCGTTTTCTAGTTCGTCATCTGATTAGAATAAAGTTTTGACTATACGGGATTGATGCGTTTATAGAATCGAGATTGGCTCTTCAGTCAGTATATCAAAATATACCAAGAGCGTATACTATATCTCTTCGTATCAAAAGACATTCCTTTGATGATAATTCACTCTCCTTCGCTTTCAGAGAATGACCTTGACCTTGTTGACCCACTGTCAACGAAATTTCACACATTTAACTGCGAAAACTTTATCTACTATAAGCTAATTCGTGTAATACTCAGCTGGTAAGCTTGAGATTGTTGCATAAAGATGAAGACTCTGGAGTAAAGTCAAATAACATGTGGCACGTTGAATTTGGCTATCAAATTACGACACGAGCATGATCGCATTCATGGCATAAACATGCAACCATGAGCTTCGCTTTACGCAATTAAATACTAATCTCACTTGTATTACCGACAGATCTATTACTTTGATGGAGACCCCTAAATTAGATATTCCCGCCGGCTACTTTGACGGTAATTAAAGCAATTGGTTTTTCATATTATTTAGACGTTGCAATTGCATTTATGCGTGCCGAAGATAAACACAAATAAATGCATAACGAATGTAACATGCGAAGCATAATACGCGAACCCGCTGCACAAGCCACCCGACAGACAGGATATGCCGAGGAAATGTGCGCATGCGCGATTATATGTACGTGCTCGCGACAACTATTGAGTAATTTGAAAAATTCAAATCCAACACGGCCGCATAAGCATGCAGCATAAGAAATGGTTACGCAACAATTATTGCGCGCGCACGAAATAAAAGCAACGGAAAGACGATGAAAAACGACAACACGAAATAATCAATTACAAAAACACCGGCAGCAATGAGGGAAAATAGCTGCAACTTGCCACTTGCAATGTGCAATTGGCCAAACAGGCGACCTGTTGTTACTATTCGCTTGCCAATACATACAGACATAATAAATAAATTGCCAAACGAGCGCAAAGCGAACCGGTAACAACAAAATTGTTCCGCATTTGCGCGCAGCACATCCTGTAGCGCCATCGAATAGTGAACAGCTGCTTGCCGCTTGCTACTGGCTTGTGGCCGCTGACTGCGACGAACATCAATGCCAAGGCAATTGTTTGCTGCTGCTGCCTGCCGCAGCGAACGGCCTTAGAAAGTAGTGCATGGGCTGCGCAACTTGCGGCATGCGGCTTATACATATGTAAGTGTGTAGCAACATACAGCTTGCAACGTGCCACATGCCATATGCTAACTCCTTATGGCAACCCGATTGACTGCATAAAGCAAAAGTGATTGCAATGTTGCCGCGCCTGCTTGCAGTGTATGTGACTTTGTTGCACGCGCACGTTTCCTGCATTTGAACCTGAACTTCAAAAAACGAAAGCAATTGGTTATGGGTGAATATAAGTATTTTTATGATTTCTTATTTTCTTGCTTAACCCCTTTGTAGTTGGTTCGCGCCACTTTGTTGCCAAATCTGATTTGTCAGTGTTAACACACTCATATAACGGTATATTGTATGATGTACCATAACCTAGCAATTTGAAAATGACGACTTAGGCTTTAACAAGATAAACAGGTGCTGCCTAATGCAGGATTTTTTAGTAATAAATAAAAAGCACTTCAAAATCGGTTAGGCTAAAAAGTGGAAAATGTATTTTTGGAGGTGTCAACTAATTGAATTAATTGGGAAAAACAACTAGTAAAAAGAATGTGCGAATATTTGACATAGCTTAGTCTTATTAGTGGTCCCTTTATGGTGGATTATTGCAAACCTGATGTAAAAGCTATTTTTGGTCCTTGATTCGTGATTCTTTTATGGTGCATCAATGTAAACTTGAAGCTTATCTCAGATATTTTTTATAATGTTTTGTTTTTTTTTCTCGAACATTACCACGGGCTTTGAACGGAACTATTTCTAGGATATCTAAAAATATAAACTTTCTACCTCTCTCTCTTTATCGGTTTCTCGCCTATGTAGAGTCTAGAAAATTAAAAATACTTTTGCTTTAACTTTTTAAAATGTCTCAACGCTCTCGATTAATTTAATCTTAAAGTCTGTAATAAGGGATTAAAATGTTTTCTGGTCATTGCAAATATTTTCTATCACTCTTTTGCTCGTTGGCTGTAGTTGGATATACGTATTTCTGAAGGTTTTCGTTATATGAGGAAAGCTAAACTAGTAATCAAAGTAGTTTTAAGCATAATTTCTGAAAGAATACATAAAGTGGATTATTCTCGCCATCGTTAGTCGTTGACAATCTATACTACCCATAATTTGATGGCTCTACAACTCGATCTTGTTCCACGTATTAGAAGTTCGTAGTTGAAAACTGCCTCTGAACATTGATTTGGAGTGGTATATAATATGATAAAAGTTAAGAAATGTTGATTATGTATTATTTTCCATTAGAGCATCCATCATATGTGATTTTTGATTATTTTTGAATAACGAAACCTAGACAAGGCAACCTGTATGCATATTCATTAAATGTCTATGAAATCCGGATTGTTTTGGACACTATGCATTCAAGATATCTGCAAGGAATAAAACGTTCAAAGGGCGTGATTTTTACCATCGAATGAACAACCGGTTTGCTGAAATATCATACTGCCAATGGAACCACGACTACGGAACCGTTGAAAATATTACAAAAGTGTTTTGGGAACTCTACTTTATAACGAATACGTGAAATATTGGGAATGGCGAAAAGCATTCAGTGAAGTCATCGAAAACTGCCTCATCATTCGAGTCGTCCATCCTCCTCTATGAATGCCGATAACGAGGAAGTTAAAGAAACAATGCTTGAAAATAGTCGTGCTGATATCAAAGAAATTACATCGGGAAAAAAAATTTTTAACATCGAGATCACTTTTGAAGTAAATTTCAAGTTAAAATTTTTTTTGGACAAATTTTTTTTGAACCTCTAGATGTTAAAATTTTTATTAAATATTTTCGTTTTTTATATCTACAAATTTTACCCTCAGGCTAAGCAAAAAAGAAACATTTTATCGTTCCACCCTTCTGTCTACCCCTTAAATCTCACTGACTGCTCTATCATTTTGTAACCCTCCTCTTGTACCAGTGGATCCATGTTTTGTCAACGGGCGCGAAACGATGCCAAAGTATTTCGGATTGCGTTTTACCAGCGTTAAAAGTTACTGTGAAAGGGTCTCAAGTTTGCGCCGACATCTTCATGATGTCCAATATTTCATGCAGTGTATAACCTACGCCGTTTTTTGAGATGTATACTGTGTTATTTATCTCGCACACATTCAATCGTCAGTCTATCAATACGATATTGTGTACTTTTGTTCCATTTTTTCTAAAAACCGTGGAGAGAATGAGAACAAAACTACGAACCCAATTTCGCAATAATCGTATACGAAAATGTACTGCATAATAGTTATTTATCGTGCTATAGTAGCGCTATGAGGCTAAGTCATTGTTTGACCGCCTTCCTATGCGTGAACTAATGCCATAAGGCTTTGCTTGAGTCAACAATGTAGTCCAGAGGTTTGAGTTACTAAAAATTTATTGCGTTCTAAAGTTGTTTATGCAAGCATTCAGGAAATTTACTATGTTTGTGTGGGTGGCCTTCTTTTTTAAATAAGTATATATATATTAAAGTTATTACTTAACTGCCGGGAATCTCCTTTTAATTTATCGACTTAAGAGCCGTCAAGTTCAATGCTGAATGGGTGCAATAAACCCATTTAATGTAATGTCTGAGTAATTTAGTTGGGCAAGTTTACACAATAATAAAAAGAAAGCAAAAGAAAAGTGTGATTCGTATGCAAACAAAATATTTGCAAGCATTAAGCGAAACTGGCTTACAAACTAATTACCTTGGCCGCGGTTGAACCGCGCTCATGAATCGCAAACCAAAAGAAATGCAACTATGCACACACCGTACGAAATGATAATAAGAAAATATCGGTAAGTATTTATGCTGTTTCAACCACTTAACATAATATGCCGCAGCCCCCCATCTCAGTGTTTCCCCGTTTTTCCCAATTGGCTTACATTAACGCGCGCGCCAGCGTAATGCCTCGGGAAATGCAAATGCTGACGCCACTTGTTGCACAGCTGCCGCTTAAGCAATGGGTGGTGGGAGAGGCGGCGCATAACTACTGGCAACACATTTAACTTTTTGCTTTGCAGATAGCGATCGAAATGGCCAACGAATGCTGCCTGAACTAGTGCCAGAGCCACCAACCCAATCGAGCCATCATGAAGCCCACCATCACTTAGACTAGGCAACGCAAGCGCTGCTCTGGCGCATCACGGGACGGCGCGGTGTGGTGTGTGGCGGCAGCGCGCCTAGCTTTTGGCATTAGGAAGCTGCATAAAACCAATGCGCTCATTGGGAAAACTTTCAGTTTCATAGAGACAACGTTGGCGCGTAAATCGTTAGTTACGTGGCATTTGAGTATTTATAGTTGGCGCGCTTTGCGACTAGCTGTTGGCATTTGTTTACTGTTAATAAGTTGCGCTGCGTGTCGGTTCGCGCCTTGTGTGTTTTTATTTGGTATACTATTAATATAATTTATAGCGTCGAAATTAATGCCAAATTTCATTTGTTCATTGAATTGAGCGATTCAAGCGATTTGAGTTTTGCGTGCCGCTGAAGGTGTTTTGGTGATTGTGAATTTTGTAAATAAGCGTGAACATGAAGAGGTTTTGGAATGTAAGTAAATGTACAAACATGTGTCTACACATATGCAGGTTTTTGTAGCAACAGCTGACAGAATGGCCTAACAGAGTGAATAAATCATAATTCAATATTTTGTATGTAACAATATATATATTTCTACCCTGAATAAGTAAACGAATGCTTTAATAAAAGCAATTTCGTTAGATTTTATTTGTTTTACTATGGTTACCAAATTACTGGCATGTCCATTTTCAAAATATGCTAACATTTTTGAATGCATAGTTACCCATATCGAAACTTGTTGCGTCACATTTTTGCAAGGCGCAAAATTTAGAGACGTGTTTGTGTATTCAATAAGTAGTCAGAGATAATAGAGCTTGAGGGATATATGAAAATATGTATATATAATTGCCAAAATATATAATTTATAGAGTTATTGTTGAGAAAGTAGAATATATGGATGGAATATATAATAATTATTATTTAAAAAACATTTTTTGTTTTTGAAAAGTAACTGAAAGTTAAAAAAAATTTTATTAAAATTTGAACTTCTCATTTAATATACAGATTTTTAGAGTAGTTAAAATGGCTTACTGTCAACCGTAAAGTATAGAATTTTGAGTATAATTAATAATATTCTGTTGAGTGTATAATACATATATTTTGTTGGTTGGAATAGTATTTTATAATCGGCTTGAAGAAAGTAGCATTTAAATAAACTAGGGTACTATTAGCATTGTAAATATCTTTCTTTATAAATAATATTATATTAAAAACTACCCATAGTTTTCGATCAACCTTAATATGCGCTCATTTATCTTATAAATTATTCACGATTGTAATTTAAAGAAATATAAAAAATTAACTTAAATAAAAAAAAAATTTAAATAAAATTAAAAAATAAAAGTACTTCATTTTATAAAAGAAATATAAATAAAAAATTAATGCAAAAAAATTAAATAAAAAATATATAACTTTAATAACAATTAAATTTTTTTTTATTTATTTATTATTATAATTTTTATTTTTTTATTATTTAATAGTGTAAAAAATAATTTTTTATTACTATAAGATATTATCAATAAAATAAAAATAAATTTTTTCCAAGGTTTGAGTCATGATTATTCATAACATACATTTCAATAATAATATTATACAAGTAATACATTTCAGAAGACTTCATTCGATATGATTTAGTATATTGTTTTGAATAAAATTCGACCCAATTTATTTAGAGCATTCACCACTGTTTGTAATTTTTTATTATTCACTTACATAGCCACAAATAGTATTTTACGTTAGATATTTTATTTTATACACTTTCTTATAAATTATTACAACAATTATTCACGACCAAATGAAAAGACATTAAATTAAACTAATAAAGACAAATATCAACATGCGATATGGTATCGAACGAATCGTGTGAAAAGAGGTGGGGCGATCCCTTTTATTGTTGGGCGGTGTAGGCTGGTGTGAACAGGTGTGGTGTCCTCATGCGTGGTGCCATCGTGGGTGGTAGCTGTGTGTGTATTGTAGCGTGGTGTTCTCACGAGTGGCGTTCACATAAGTTGTGTTTCCCGGTCGTGTGTTGAGGTATATCAGTGTTGTGCTGCGTAGTGTGGTGTGTTAAAGTGTGTCTGTGCTGTGCCTTCTACTGATATGGCGATTTGCTGTTCTTCGAGGGAAAGGTTTGAGCTTATTTAGATATACATATGTATTATAGTTCAAATTCTTAAGTAGCAAAACGGTTGCCATACATTCGCAAACTTTATAGTTTCGAATAATTCTTAAAATTTTCATTAAAATTAGTTTGTAATGAGGATTAACTTATTCGAGAATTATTCGTAAATCCTCTGTTACCTCATATTGATTGATACTATTTTTTTTATTAAAAATATTGGTAATTACTAGGTGAAGAAATATTAAATTTTACTTGGGCGTTGCACTCCTATTGCCCATTTTCAAATCATAATGAAATTTCTAGCATGTTGACGTTCCTCCTTTTTCAATTTTTCTCGTTTTTTAACATTACTGAGCACTGTGAAAAAAATATACCGCTATGTGGGAACTGAGTTGTTACTAAAACTCTAAAGATATTTATTCCTAAAGATGTTAGCTCTTTGAACCAAATAGAGTTTTTTTAGATTAATTAGTCACATAATAATATTATTTGAGATTTTGATACTGATTTTGATAACAACATGCCTTGAATATTATCATGTATACCAAGTTTCAGTGACGCACCTTAATTAATAAAAAAGTCGATTTTTGAATATGTAAAAAAAAATTGTTTAGACTGTTTTAAAATTTTAACGATACATATTCGAAGAATACCCAGTAAAATTTATAAAAAAAATGAAGAGATATTTTTCGTAATATATGTGATCCCAGACAGCGTTAGAAAAAGGACTTCCACTGCTGCAGTGATTCCGGCCTTCTCTCTGAAACCTAAAACTTTTTCTTTTTAGAAGATATTGCCGATACAAAAATTGGCAAAATGACAAATTAAAAATTCTTTGAAAACAAATTGAAAAGTTTGGTCGTTTTTGAAATACCAAAATTCGGTTTTTGTTCAGATCAAGAATTTAGTTCGTTATTGTATGGATGATTACAGAAAAGCCAGAAAAAATTTTATAGTGATGGAATCGAGTAATCACTGTAACGAATTTGAAAAATGCGAGAAATGCGATTTTGAGAAAAACGCGTTTAAAGATAAACTGATAGAGCTGATTGAACTGAGTGGTTGCAATTTAAAAGTCTGTAACTCAAAAGATATTTGAAATATTGAAATAAAATTTTAGTTTGCTATTTTTAAATTTCAAAATTTCAAAATTTCACACTCGGTAAAAGGGACACACCGAATAGCACATACATATGAACCTAATTTTGTGTATAAAAATTTCCCTCTCAAAGGGAGTGCTAATGCTGATCTGCTGTGAAGAAGATTATAATATGAAATTTTCTTTGTAGTAGTTCTAAGACATTTGAAAAGAGAGAATCAACTTTAGTTTAACGTAAATGGTTAATTTAATAAGGGTTAATTGAGGATATGCTGGCAAAGTCAAAGTGGAAAAATTTTGAATTCGACTAAAAGGAACTTTATATTACTAACCTATATTTTTGGAAGTACGTACTTACGACCTAACTGAATAACATAAGAAGAGTGGGTAAATATATTTTATACTCCATGGAACTAGTCTAATTATCACAAGAAGTTTACAAGATTGCCTGCAGGTGACCTTCATGCAATAATACTTCGGCTTGCTCAAAATAAATTATGCTCTTTGAACACGTGTAGTGGCTGCGGTCTCTTACTATTTAAATACAAAAAAAAATTATAATAATTTGAAGAAAATATGAATAAATAAATATTAGTACACCAGAAGCTTTAAAACTAGTATGGGTTATTAGGCATTAATTCAAAATCGGTTTGAATATAAAAACTGAGGAAATAAGTAAGCGATTATTACATATTTTCAGTAAGTGTGAATGAGTGGCGAAGACATTGACAGTGATTTTGTATTCAGTTGCAAAGCTGTCTATTGATCTTTCTACATAATGACTTAACTATTTAAATATGTATATTAAAGATCATTACTGAGAAACTTATAGTCAAAGGCAATTATAGACAATAATCAGAGTTATGTAATTATGAATATACTGTAAAATCTAAGAAGCGACTTTCTACAGATTAGCAACTGGTCGTCATTAGTTTGTCAATTATTGTATATTGTCAGTGAAAATTTATAATTTGCAATTTCTTTTTCTCTTTTATACGTTTTCATCGCTATAGCTGCTGTATTTCAGCCTATTATGGATGGGCACTAGCGTGAGAGCGCAAAGTTCGTTTTATCGACGCGCTTATTACAGTCCCATGTCATCATCACCCACACACTACTTCACCTCACATCCCGGTAGTCATGAGTTCATGCCGCTCTCTTACACCAGCGATCTACATACCGAAGAAAGCAAACGCAAGGAATCACCGAAAAAATATGCTAAGAAAATCTCTTATCGTCATGTAGCTTCGGTGAGTTAGAAGAAATTAAATTCCAATTACGTTTATTATAAAAATATTACGATTCGTTTCGCTTTCACTTATTTCACAGGAGGAAGAAGACAATTCTAGTGAACGCTATGGTTCCAGTGAGTTCTCGAATGAGGCGCATAATTTCAACTCGAAGGAGAATGATAGCCGCGAGTATACAATTGGCACACAAATACGTGTGCAACATCCAATAACCGTACCGAAAAAGTCCACATCATCTCACCCGAAATATAGCACACACTTGCCTAATCATTTCAAGAGCACCACCTATGCTGATGTTAACCTTTCGACAGAAGCACACGACAAGAAGTTACCACCATCTAAGAAACACATTCACCATCATAAATATACACAATTCTATGAACCAGATCCTTTCCATATGGTATCCCCACCTAAACCTACACTCTCCTCCGTCTCACCGACCCCCAGTCTTAGCTACAATGTGTACGAGCCCGAACAGGATGAATACGATGTGCATCCATTCAGTTCTAACAGAGCTAAAGCTCAACTGCGTGATCGTTTTAAGGGTGTTGCATCGCAAAAGCAAATAGAAAAGTATTTGGAAGATCAACAAAAGCTACTCGATGAAGCGCTTAAGCTGCAATTGCTCAATAATCCGAAATTTCAACATTTGATGAAATCGAAAGATGCCGAACGCCATTATGATGAGGGTGAATTTGAAGAATTGCCCATCGATCCACAGCCTCCACCAATTTATCGCCCTAGTTTCGATGACAATTTAACATTCAAGTCGAATCAATCGCGAAGACGCCCAAAGGGTGCCGAGTTGAAGCGTTCACCGAAGTCACCAAAGCCCCCATTGCCCATAGTTGGTACGAGTAAGCGGCGATTTCGCCCATCACTTGTCATCAATGTTTGAGAATGCCGATGTCTATTGGACGTTTTTACGTTAAAAAGTGAATAATAGTTTTAGGTTTTGTGCGCCTAACGGTGCTTTACGATTTTTTATAATTTGTATTTATGATTTATTTGCTTAAGATATTAATTTTTTGCCTTTAATAACTTTATGAAATATTTTGTAACAATATATAAACATGTAAATAAAAATTTAATTGTTTCTAGTAAATTTTGGCGCTTTTAATTAAAATTACAAAAAAATTTGAAATATTACTCGAATGGGTCTATGTGATCATATTTATTGCTTATTGGCCTGGAAAAAGATTTAAGCATTTAAAAATGGTATAAAATGTTAAAATCTGTACACAGTTACGATTACATAGTTAGGATGAATCATACATATTAAAAAGGGATGTTTGAAGAATAGTTTTCGGCAAAAGGGGAAATGATTAGTGGTCATCTCAAATGTGCATAACAGCCCAATAATTTGGGATAGTAGAGCTCTGTGACCTTTTCTCTAAGTAATCCATGTACATAGATCACACTTTGTAAGACCCAGTAAATAGTGGTCATCTTCTGTGCCTTCTACGGCGCAGGCTCATCCAGGGTTTGGCCTATGGCTTTGGGCCTGTGTACCAATGCATACATTTTTCGTCAAATGTCACAAAACGGCGCAGAAACCGATTTGCGCTCAATCAGCGTCAACCGCAGCCATAAAGTATGGTAGTAACTCATTTCAGTAAACAAACGAGGGTTGTTTAATAACCACAGCACAAATACGCCTTAAGGTATGCAACATTTTAAGATTAATCTCAACGAATTGGGCACAGGGTGTTTTTTCCGGCACTGCAATGAAATCTTAATACGTTACATTATAAATTTAATAGGTTGGTTTTAAATTGTTTAAAATATTATGAGAGAATTTATTGCGGTTAAGAGGGTTAGCGTTAAACATATCGAATCCGAGGTACTTGCTCTAATTATATACGTACTATGTATAAATTTTGGTTTTCAATTTCTATTTTAGTAAATTAAATCCAATTTATTTCGGAGTTTATTATAATATTTAGTTATTTATGAAGTTAGATAAAACTCTGGGTCGAAGAGTAAATTGCACAACATGTTTGTTGGTATGCGAAAATTGAATAATTTTGATATTTACTAACCAATTGAATGGTTTAGGCATATTCGAAACCTTAATTTAGGACAATTCTAACCATGAGCAGCATTACATCGTGAAACAACGCTCTGAAGAAGATATATTTTACAATGAAAATGGTCGCTGAGTTTCGTTAACACAGCATGCTTTTCATTGAGATATTCAAAAACATAAAAAATTTAATAGCCGATAAAATTCGATATCGATGCACACTGCCACATCTATCTACCTGCAAGTGTGTGATTGATGTATTATATTAACTGTTATTGGTTATATTATATTATATTGTTATATTATTAAAAATCGCCTAAGCTTATGATGTGGAAAAGATCCATCCATATTTCTAAAATTTACTCTCGCTTCCTTGTTTTTGTTGCCTTGCTAGAAAATTAAAGCATTCGCCAATAATTCCAGCTGAAACCGAGCATCTGGACCGAAATTATCGCTATACCGTCCAAAATGATCAAACAAGTAATATAAAACGCCAAATGAGCTAATTTTGCAAAACTCGTAACCTGATCGATGTCGTATGCACAAAATATCTAAATAAATTGTAAAAATGTCGAATTTAATATGAAACAAATTAAGAAAAATTGCAGGTGACTTTTCCAAAAAATTTTAAAAATGATGGGGCATTTTGTATTCCTTCTCTTGTTCGAAGCGCCCATTATGAAACATTGGCATTAGGTATTAATATATTAGTAAGGCAGGTACAATTGCATTTGGATCGTTTTTTTTGCTCAAAATAAAGTTTTTTAAAAATATCAATATATAAAACGTGATTATTTTCCAAAGTTCGTCTAATTTTATATTTTAACAGAAAGTAATGACATACAATCGTGTTCCTGAGTTTGGCTTAGATAATTCAAAGTGATTTAGTTTTTAAAACACATTTCAACCCATTCTTCAACTATTGTTGCATAGCTGACGTACTCTGATTTGACTTCTCTTAATTATATAATATTATATTGGATTTATTCTCCCTTCAGCTGACGAAAAACGGTAACTTGTCGCGGTTGTGGTCAACAAGATAAACAAACATAACACCTTTGATGTTATACCGCTATTTCATTGTACAAATGTTAATTCTACGATGATCTACATCTACTACGACATCTCACACGCTGCTGAAAAAAAATTGTTACTTCGATTTTGTCAATGATTTGGAATGAGAGTCAATCGTGCTAAAGCTCTGCAGTAGATACATATAACAGGAAAAAACGTCAACTTCGGCTGCACCGAAGCAACTATTTGTACAACTAAATCTGAAAACCTAACCGGCAAATGGTTTTCTGTCATTGTAAAACGTTTTGACCGTTCTTTCTAGCCGCGTTGTTTGATGCTTCTTTGTCTCGGCGAAGGATGAAAAAAATACCGTTCGCATTATCAATGTGTCGCCAGTGTCGTCACAGCAATGGTATGTGCAACTTTCAGGTCACTAAAAAATTCTCCGTGACCACGCTAGGACCATTTTCCCCATTTCTTCAGGGTGGCGTTTCATTTTTCTCGTCTTAAGACTTAACATACATATTAGAACGTACGTAATGTAGTACGTTTTGTTGTAATTCTTCATGCTCTTTTAGTTTTTCTCATTTTTAATCATGGAAGTTATAAGGTTGTCCATATTTAGGGGGTCGACCAAAGTCTGAAGCTTACTTGTATTTCGCTATGTTTGTCAGCGTATGTATTTGAAAAACGTGCGTTCGGCATCAACTCGATCGCATCGTTGTATAGGTTTAGAGGACAGCTCTTCGGCTTTTAACATTTTACGTACATAATATATATATTTCCTAAAATGTCCGTGCTCTGATAACATCGGTAACAACTACTTCACCATGTTTCCTGTTACACCACTCTTTTATATTTCGGATTAGTCTAGCCGTCCCTCTGCAATGACGTCTCTCTATGAACGAATTTTCAAGTGTTTCAATCTATCGTTCTTTATTTCCGCTTTTGAGGTGGTGACATTTGTTCTTAGTTTATTCAAGTTCAATATTTCCTTCCTTTCAAATGCTATTAAGTCGATGGGAGCGCTTAGTAGATCAGCTGTGCTATACACTTTTTCTAGGGCTTTACTTCGGTTATTTCCTGAATGAGTCTCTCTCTGCGCCGCAAGACATTCACTGTGACCGACATCAAAAGCTTCCGTTTTTTCTGTGTCGGTCCTCCGATATTGGCCAACATTATGCTAACTTGGAAATTTAATATTGTATACGCCTTTTCTACAGCGTGTTGGATTTATGACGAATAGGTAAGCTTAAGTTCACAAACTTTTGAGTTTTTAGAGTCTCTGTTGTTGTCCACATGTCTGTTATAGTCGGGTGTAAAAACAAACTTCGAGTGGAATAAAGGTGACAGAACAAAGAAACAAGGTCTTTTATAAAGATCTTTATTTTGATTTAATCGATCAGTTTGTATGGCATCTATAGATTATAGTAGTCCGATATCGGCGGTCCCGACAAACGCGTAGGTTAGGTTAGGTTAGAAGGTCGATCCTAAGAAGGATCACACTTGGATAGCTTAAACCGCCGGTCCGTTGTATGTGTGTAGCTTCTTGGGGAAAAAACAACGTGTACAAAATTTCAGATCGAATGATGGACTCGGACAGATGGACATAACTAAATTTCGTGGCAAACTTAATATTACTGAAATAAAGCATGTTCAGGGTATAAGAATCTGACATGACACGGACTAATTTTCGGCTGACTTGTTGCTTCGGAGAAATAACACTACACTAAAGAGATCTCGTCACTAGCCAAGCAATAATAAACCACAACAAACATGCTTCATATTTTAACCATATACTATGGATTTGTGCTTCCATACGTCTGTCTCCCCCTGTAACGTAGTTGGCTTAAAACGTAATACTGTGCAATAACAAAAAGTACTTGTATTTAGAAGCCTACATATAAAATAACAATTACCAATAATGATTAATGTATTCAAGCGCTGCCGCAGACATATCCAAAGCAGTAAATCACAACAAATACGTAATGGAAATAAACAGGCCAAGCTTGGCGGATAAAGTTGTAAGGCAGTAAAAATAGTGACCTTGAAAGTAACTGCATTCATATACGCTGACGTAGGAAAATTATATACTATGCAGTATGAAGTGTAAATTTATATTTATATATACATCTTAAGTATATGCAAGAGTTACTTATGTGTTGCCAATATAAATATATGTGCGTGCGTATGTGCGTAATATAATAATAAAATAGTAAATATGCCAATAGTCATGCAATTGCTATTAGCCAAGTAAGTGGAATAAATTAGCAACCAACTAGTATTTATGGCTAAGTGAGAAGGAAAGAATTCGCTAAAGGAAATCGACTTGCACAGAACTTAATAAACACAGTGATTGGCAATTGGCGTTTGCAATATAATGCTCAATTACTTTTATGAGCAGTTGGATGGTTACAAATAAATGGTTAAGTATTTATATATAGCATATACACATACATATGTATATGTGTATTTGTTTAAGAAATACATTTATATGTATGTATATAAGCATATGGCTGCACATATATATTACATTTTTTTAAGTAGCTAAGAGTATACTTGCCTAAGAACGGCTTAACAACATATTGTCTAATATTATGAAAAATTAAAAAAAAAAAATTAATTCGGAATTTTGATTGAATTTACACGCTAAAGCAAAAACAACTACCAGGTGTGACTGGCATAAGCACGATGTTGTAAGCAAACAAAGAATTAAATTTAAAGCTATATGCAATAGCAACAGCAAAATAAATATTGGGTACTCGTATGGCGAATGTACTTGTTGTGTGTGAAAAATTTGAGTTGCGCAAAATGCTTTAAAGTCGACAAGTTCGCGACTTTTCCGGCTCAACCCACGCGGCGGACAAAACGTAGACATACAAACATGTATAAATACAACTTATTGTCTTTGTGTGTATATAGGTATGTGTGTTTGTATACATATATTATTAGTTGCATTAGTTGTTTGCCTTATGGTTTCCATAATAAATTTGGTACACGGCACAGCTGTTTCAAGCCATGATTAACTCCGCATTGCGCTCTTTCGCTGCAACAAAATTCGTGTA